TCGTCCAAGCAGTCACTGCAGGGTCAGCAATGACTGAGCGCAGACAAAAAAAAAACAAAACAAAACAGTTATCAAAATATTAAAAATGACTATGTAACATATTGTCACGAACAAGACCTTTTTGGGGGTATAATAATTTTAGCTCATGAGATTTATTGAAGTTAAACATTTTTGGAGTGTAGAGGTCATAAATTACTTTGTCGCTTACATATACTGTTGGACGAAAAGCTAAATTTCAGGTAGAGGATTATACCATTAATCAAAAAGGAAAAATCTTTGGGCTTGCTGAATCCACAATAGCAGTGTTCTTCAACCTCGGCAACCTGGACTTCATGCTGGCTGGGGAATTCTGGGAGTTGAAGTCCACCCATCTTAAAGTTGCTGAGGTTGAGGAACCCTGCACTATAGGAAGAAGTGGGGTAAGTGTTCCTTGAATGAGCAATCAGAGAAAGGCCTGGGAGTAGGTCTGAGATTAGATAAGGGGCCTCGGTTTCTGTTTCCAGATATTCTCACTAGTGTTTATTATTCATTTGCTTAGATTTGCCTTCACACCATCTTGGTTTGTCGATATCTCAGCCCTGTTGTACATTTATGGAACTAGGGTGGAAAACTCATTAACCACCATTCAGCTGACCTCTAAGGCAAGATCTGAACCACCTGGTTGTATTGGCCCGGATTAGATTTGAATACTAATTTTTTCAACTCTTTTTCACAGAATGCCAGTTTGGTTTGAAGCTTACAAGAGTTCCTCAATTAAAAACAACAACATCAGATACTATCTTTCCCATATCCAATTTTTCAACTCCAGGAATGCTAAACTTGTTTTCCAGCCAGAAAGAGTTAAAAGACAAGGTCAAACCCTGCCACAGTTTGAGCATTTGTCCTTGAACATTCCCCAAGGTCCTTTCCAAAGCAAATGGAAATGCTTCTAGACAAGGTTTGCATTCTACAGTCACCTCTGCATCAAGCAGATAATTTTACAGGGGTTCCAGACATTACTACCTTTCCTTTGTATGTTTCCTGCATTTTTCCTCAACTTTTTTTTCCTTAGAAAATATGCAAGAAGACTTATGGGAAATACCTTAATAATTGTCCAATGTCTTTAACTGGTAGCCCCAGGAACTTTTATTCTGGACACAGTATAGGATTTTATGATGCTTGTCAAGGGCTTCTTACTAGATAAAATGAGTTGGAAAAATTTTCTTTCTAGGCGGAATGTTGGAAATCTAGTGAATTAGATTAACAAGAAAAAGAAGATGGGAAACAGAATGGGTGAGGCTTGTTTTTGGACTGCAAGCATTGCAGGAAACTGGAAAGAACATTTCATAGTGGCTTAAAGTGAAAAACTAGATGACATCTATGTCTGGGATCCAGAAGGCAGCGGCCTGACTTTCTGCACACAAGCTACGCTTCTGTACTTCTTCAAACTTTTATGAAGGTGTTTAATAGTTTTTGGTCTCATTTTCACTGAAAAAGAGAGAAGACATTTGGCACAAATGTGCCATGCACTATGTGTACACATCACCATTGTTCTGTAACAATAACACTTTTTCTTTGTGGATCTTCTGCATTTCCTTAAAGCAGAGAAACATTGCATCATTAGAAGACAGAAGAGGAATATAGTCTTTATGCTTTGTGTAGAAGGATAAGCACTTCATTCACTGTTCCTGACATACGGAATCTGATTTAAATAACACTAACCCTAAAATTAAACAAAGGGGACAAGCAAATAGAACTGTGTGCAGTATATATTTATTTTTACCCTTCTTGCTCCTTGCTCTAGATGGCTTTATACTAACTATCTTGGATGTTTGGACTCCCATCCACATTTTGCCTCTGCTAAACCCTCGTGAATTATGTTTCTTGGCAAATTGCACTTGTGTTCTCGCTGACTGGATTGGTAATCTGAGGTTCTGTAGCTCCAACCCCAGATGCCTGTTAAAGTGAGTGGGCTGCTGTTGGATTATACCGGTACAAATCCTACCCGTTCATATTAGAATGGAGGAAGGAAAAAGGTTGGATACTCAAGCCCTTCCCTCATCTGCAATTTTTACCGGCACCAGAGTACCTGGCAAACCTTTTCCTCATGTGACACTGCCCTTATCTCGTTCCTAGCCTAGAATTTAAATAGCCTTTCTATTCTGGCAAAATCTAGTTTTTTCATGCTTGAATGGAGAGGCTTTCACCTCTCCCTTTCAGAGAAATGAAATCAGATGACTATTGCCTGGGGGCATCCTTGGGAGGGGGCCAAAGATGGAAGCCACACACCACCCCACTGACTAGAAATGTGTCCTAAGCATTTCAGGAGGTGTGACTTCCCCCCTCTTGGGATTTCATTGCCCAAATATATTCACTGGCCTAAAACACTAGGATCTGGCCTGTGAGGACAAAGTGTTTGGTTAAGTAAGTGCTGTGGACACAGGATCAAGGCTACAATTTGTCAGTCCAATTTATAGAATTTATACCAGTTCTATTTTGTTGGCACAGACTAACATAGCTCTTCCCCTACCCCCATCCCAATCTTATGTATTCCAGCATATCAAGTCAGAGTAGGTTGCTTTAAAGGGAACCAGGATTTTTTTATTTATTTTTTTGGTGCCTTCGAGTCAGTGTTGACTTCTGACAACTGCCAGGACTAGTCCCTGCAGTTTTCTTGGCATGATTTTAGAAGTGGTTTGCCATTGATTCCTTCCTAGGGCTGAGAGAGAGTGACTGGCCCAAAGTCACCCAGCTGGCTTTTTACCTAAGGCAGGGGCAGAATTCACCGTCTCCTGGTTTCTAGCCTGATAACCACTACACCGAAGTGGCTCTCTTTAGTATTTCTTTAGATGCTAAAATATGAAACCTGGAACTACTTGCACTATAAAAAATAATATTCAGATAACTGCAACTACCTGCATTAAAAACTATTCAGACAACTTCTAACGACCAAAAAACAGGAACAATATTTTATCTTGAACGTTTTCTAGTTTTTAGAGCAGATGCCATAATTTTAAACAGGCTTTCACAGCCTGAAACACCCTCCCAATATATTGGACTATTATTCACAGTTGGTTGACCCCATAGCCCTTGTGACTGGGAGCGATGGGATTTCTACTCCAACGCGTCCGCATCGCACCAGAGGAGCAAGGGCCAATTTAAAAGCGCGATAACGAAAAAGCACCGGTCCCGACGACTTCATTTGTGTTTTCACATTTGCATCATTTATTTGCACAAAGCGGCCACGAGCAAGTACTGTATAATCGGGAACCAGAAGTTTCTGCAGAGACCCATGACACGCGTCCTACGGCTGCGAGGGTTCATGGGAGTTGTAGTTCTGGGGTGTAGTGCCCGCAGACGCCTCTCGAAAAGCACGCTTAGGAGACCGTGTCCCGCTCGTCCTTTCCACGAAATGCCTTTTGGGAGTTGTAGTTCCTTCCCTCCCTCTTCCCAGCCGCCCTGGCTGTTTCCGTTGCCGGTTTGCCCGCTAGCAACTATGCCCGGGAGCCGGGGTGGGAAGTCCCGAGAAGCCGCCAACCCCGCTGTAGGCGGGGGGACGGAGCTGGTGACAGAACGGGTCCTCCGGGAAGCCCACTCGCTTTATGTGCACCCGGGGCATGGTGAGAGTTTGGGGATAGGATGAAAAAAGGGGGCCCTTTTCCCTTTAGGGGTGAAGCAACATGCCAAGTGTCAGCCATAACTTTCCCGCTCTGCTCCCAGGTTTGGTGTCAATAGGGGAGCGCCTGGGCCTGACCCTGCTTCCCCCTCGCCGTAGAGTGACTGTCATGGTGATGGGCAACCACAGTGCTGGGAAGAGCAGCTTTATCAACTGGTGAGCTGAAGGGGACTGCCAGAAAATAAATCAAGGGGAGTCAAAACTGGCAATGGCACCATTAGGGTATTGAACCAAGGGGTGTTGGTATGAACGCAAGGCATTCTGGGCAAATCCTAATGGAGAGGGTGGTATGGCTCAAGGCATTCTGGGAAAATTCTAGAAAGTTATCCACAGTATAAGAAATTGCAGGCAACCTGTAGGTCAGGGTGTTTGGGGGAGTTTGTGGAAGGCACTGCATCTAAATGCAAGGTTTTTGTGTCTGGAGTGCTCTCTTAAGTGTAACATCTGGTAAAAAAGGTGAAGTTATCATTTATTTGTTTCCATCAGTGATTTATAAAGTGGGTGTATTATATTGGGAAAAGACTTCCATTTAAGATGGCAGTGTGAGAAGCTGGGCCTCTTGATAGCTCCTCTGAGAAGAAACTCTCCACTCTTATACTTCCGGCCAATTTTATGTCAAAAGAAGTGATTAAAGGCTACTGGGGAAAGATGCATAAAATCCTGAATGAATGCAGTTTGTTGATTATACTGGGTAAGATCTGGGTTTCAGGGAGAAGTTCTTATTTCTACTGACTGGTTTTAAAGCACAGAGAAGGATTGTAAGTCATAGACACCTAAGTCATTGTGTTATTGACCCAAATGATACTGCTGTAATGGAAGAACAAATGGGTGTTCAGATACTTGTAGCAACTTGCCAACCCAGGACATTTCAGGAAATTGGTTGTGAATGTGTGCTAATACTGTATTTCCCACCTTCAGCCATATTTTGTACACACAAAAAGAGAAAGATTCAGTCTTGGTTTTCTTAATGTTTTTGTGCAGGTATGTGGAGGAACACATCCAACGTACTGGGGTTGCTATTGAGACCCAGGGCTTCACCTTCATCACCAGCGGAAAGAAGCGAGAATCTCTCACGGTGAGAATTTCCTCCTTTGACTCTCATGTTCCTAGAGAAATTGGCTGCTCTGAGATTGTAGGACATGTTCATGCTTTGTTGATTCAGACAGTGTGTCATGCTTTCTAATTGCTGAGTATGTAAGAGAAGTTCACAAGGACAAGATGGGGAAAATTGTTGTTAGTTAACCTCAGCATAGAGACACTCATTTTTAATATAGCTTTCTACGTATGACTGTTATGGCTACTGCTACTTAACCAGTAAGACTTCCTCTTCTTCAATATGCCAGCCACTGTCCTTTCTTCCAGACAGTCAATTCTTCCTCTCCTCCAGTTTTGTTTTGCTTTGTTTTTCTTTTCCCTTCAGCAGCCAGTCAGCATTATGTAACTATTGAATAGGGTTATTCAATAAGATACTTAAGAATTCCTCCCTCCCCTTCGTTTCCCTCCCCCGCAAAGATGGTGTACTTCTGCTAGGCTTAGGCTTCTCCCAACCTGCTGATGTTTTCCTCTTATGCATGGGTGGTGCAGATTTGGTTGGGGGCTATAAATCTAGCAGTCTTGATCAAAATAAGCAGTGATGAAAAATGCTGGGAGTTGTGGTTCAGCAACCTCTGGAGGGCCACAGATTTCCCACCACCTAGACTAAGCAATGTGTTTGCTGGGAGTTTAGGGCAAGCATGTAACTTAGGTCCCAGGGTCACATGTCCTTCATATGTTTGGCCTTCCATCCTGTCAGATGGGCATATTTTATGTGTCCAAAGGGGAAAATTCATGAGACACAATAGAATTAATATTTAATTAATTAATTCAGTTGTAATAAGTTGCATTTCATTTTTGTCCTGGCCCCATCCAGTTTTTGAGCATACACCCTGGCACCCCACATAAAGGTCAAGAGCAGCCTTCAGCCTTGAAATAGTTGTGCACACTTGCTAAATATAACTTATCTAATGATTTTAAAACCCATCTGCTATAGCCATAGTACATATTCTAAGACCTTCTGTTTTTCTACTCCTTTTCTGCAGGGTAATGCTACACTCCATCTATACCCTCATTTTCAGGTCTTGCAGAACTTCAAAGGTTAGTTGCAAACTGAAAATAAATCAAGGGCTGGCTTTTAATTCAAAATAGTGTTGTGTGGACTGAATGAGTATTGTTTTGATCAGGAAGGTGATATTTAAAAGTTGGTGTAATTGATCGTTGGCAGCTTGCCTGTGATAATTCATGTTTGTAATGAAATTTGGAGTATGTTCTTCAAAGATAGGTCAAGCTGAGAGATGCATGCTGTTCATCTCTCAGCTTGACTTATCTCAAAGGACTGTTGTATAATTTATAGTTTTAGGATTATTAGAAGGAAAGTATGGTGTTTATTATCTCTTAATGGCAAGAAGCTACTAGTAAATTTTAATATGCTGCTCCTTACCTTCATTTAGGAGTGCCAGAGTACCTGAGCACTGAGATTTGTACCTCCAAGCAGAAACAGTTTCCCCTGATCACTTTTCTTGACACCCCAGGCTTAGTTGATGGTGACATGAAATACCCTTTTGATGTGGAAGGAGCACTGATCTGGTTTGGTGAGTATAGCTCCATGAAATAGCCTTCATTCCTAAAGAGCATTCTATTAAACTGTTTTTCCAAATCAACCTAGCACTCAAAATGAAATAGATGTGCTCGATAAAAGTTAAATCAGGAGATGGATTAATATAGGTAATACAAGGAATGTTTTTTTTGGTGTTAGAAAAAATGTGTGAGAAAGCTACTTTGGGATCTGGAGGAAAATGCAGGCACATTGATGGGAGAACAAATTTTAGCACAGGGCATTTTCTACTGGTAGCCCTTAGCCTGAAAGAAATGGTGTATCCATTTATTATTTCTGTATGAATTCTCTCCCTGTGTTATGCAGCACCCTAACTCCTTCCCTTGTGATCTTGTTCAGGCCAACTCTGTGATCTCATCCTGGTCTTCTTTGATCCCATGGGGCAGGCTCTTTGCAAACGCACCTTAAACATAGTGGAGAAGATCAATGAAGAGCATGGGGACAAGTTGCACTTCTATCTGAGCAAGGCTGATGAGGCAGGCACTGAAGGTGACAGACAGGTATCAAATCTCCCATGGATAATGGGCACAGATTGGGACAGGGATTTCATGGAACAGAAGAAATTAAGAATGGCAATTTTTAAAAAAATTATTTATATAGGTGTGTGTGTGTGTGTACGTGCTTTTTTTCTCTGACAGAGGGTGCTGATGCAAATTGTGCAAGAACTTTGCAAACGTCCTGGCCTCAATAAATGTGGGTTTGACATGCCTACAATTTACATTCCCAACTCCAATAAGGTGAGTGAAGAGCTTGGAATTCTTTTAGGGGTAAGACTGAAGCAGAAGCCCTGGTGAATCAGGGCTTGTGGACAAATGGGTAAGCCTTGGGATGGATGCAAGAGAAAAGCTGTTAGTCGGTGCCCTGGGACTTAAAACAGAACGCTGATTGACTCTCTGCAAAATGGTGATATGGGTTATGCGCTCTCCCTTAGCCGAGTCGGTGCATTAATCAGATCGAGGAGATCTGCCGCACAATTGAGAAGACTATCAGCCAGACTGTGCAGCATACACTCAATGCCCTGGAAAGGGATTGCCGGCACATTGAAGAGGCCACACAGCGTTTGCTAGAGGATGACAAGTAAGAATGTAGCATCGTGGGAGTGGGAGACTTGACATCTGAGAAGTGCTAACATTTACAGCAAAAATGGATGGGTCGTCAGATCCCAGGTAGAAAAGTGGAGTGTGAATTTGTATATAAGAAGGCAAGTTGGAGAGAGAACTGAGTGGCAGATTCTGAGTTGATAGCCGTTGAGATAATAAATCAGATTGCAGTGGAAGGAAAACTGAGCAGAAAAAGTACGGAATGCATGTTTTCGTCTCTCAGCTTGACCTATCTCAAAGGACTGTTGTGTAATTTACAGCATAGTCCTATGCATATTTACTTGGAAATAAATCCCACAAAAATGGATCTTTCTAAGTGCCTTGAATTGTAACCCAGATTGGCAATCTAGATTCCTTTGAAGGAAGGTTGGTTACGTGTTCAACAACTATTGAAATGTGATGGGGACAGGAAGGTTCTGGCTGCTTACCTTAACTTAAAAAGGGGTGAGAAGATTATGGTTAGAGGAAAAAAGTTCTAGGAAACCAATATCTGGGAGGGTGCCAAGGGTAGTAGGATGTATCTGGGTCAATGTGGGGTTTAGTGCTATTCAGCTGAGTTTCTTCCTCAGTCCTATACGCTGACTTCGCCTTTTCTCTTTGTTTCTGTTACTCAGCGAGGCCAGAAGCAGCAACTTCCGTGCTTGTTTCCGGGGGATACTTCTGGGCATAGCTGGTTGCCTGTTGCCCATTTTTCTCTTTCTGACCTTGATATTTGGCACAACATTTGCTCGCCAACTGTGGATCTTAGTCTTAGGAGAGAAGCAAAGCCAGACCCTGGAACTATATGTAGTGAGTACTTTGAGTGCGCTGTTTCAATCTCCCAGGAGCACCCTTTTCTCACTCTGCAGTGCCCCTCAATTAAGCCTTGTTTCGCTTTGAATAGCAACGTTGGTGCAGGACATTGGATTCCATAACCTTAGAGTCTCAGCTTTCATACCTTGGGGGTGCAGGAAACAGGCTTTTCTAGCCTTACCTCCACAAAGAAACACAAGTTGAATGGGTAGGATTTTAAAACATGCAGTTTCTAAAAGCTGCAAAACAAGAGAGATAGAAAGGAGCACAAAACCTAAGGAACATATGTTGGAGATTGATGACCAAAGGTATGTACTATTGCAAAATTCAGAATCCCATATCTCTTCATTTTGCAGGAAAAAATATATATTCATCAAGTTTCTAATTCTTACACCAACAGAAATTTCTAAAGCCCAAGCAACAGAAGATAGCCTGGGGTAATAGGATAAGAATCCAGTGCAAATTATAACTTCATGGTTCTTTGCGTAACTAGCAAAACCACAACTGAGCAACCTTTACTTCTCTTTTATCTCTTCTTCCTCCCCTTCTCTAAGTTTACCAAGTTTTGATTATGGTTGGGGAATTCTAAAAACAATAACTTAGATAATGCCTACTGTTATAGGTACTTGCTGAATACTTTAATTATAGTTAAGATATGTATGGTAATTTTATATAAATTATTAGCATAGAATTCAGGCTTCTTTGGCACAAAAGTGGTTTATATCGTTTTCTTAAGAGTGCATAGTGGATAAAATTATGTTTTCCTCAGCTAATATCAAGTATTCCATTTACTCTTAATCCTAATTTTCAGCAGCCAGTTGCATCAGTCTGGAGGCTTGTCCCTGAAGATCAAACCTTAACAGTATTTTTTGGCCTTCTCTGCCTCTCGATTCTCCTCCTGCTCTTGGCCAGTTACACTCTCAGGTAAGAGCATTCCTGTTTACCAGGAAGGGCTGTCCACCACACTTCTGTAATGTTCCTTGACTTCTTCTTTGTATTTTTTGCCCCACTTAGAATGAAGCCCACTCTCTCCAAAAAGCAGAAGCGGCAGCTGGAAGATCAACGGGATTATGTGTTGGATGTAGTCTTGGCTATGAAGGTTGATGCCTTGGGAATGTGGATGGGGTGGTTTGAAGTTGTGACATGGGGACTGGTGCCTATTCCACAGAACCTTAGTTGGCAGAGAAGGGGATATGGATCCTGTTTGGATTCTGGGTGATGACCAGAGAAAGGGGTTGATTAGCACAGGAAATAAAAAACAATATTCTTTCTCTGCAGAGAAAGCTCTACGAGGAATACCTTCGACAAAGCATTGGTGAGCAGGACTTGAGCTGAAACCAGCATATTCTGAAGAGATTCCGTGCCCCTCTTCCCCCCCAATACTGAGAGAAGAGCATTTGCAACTGCAAGCCTTCTAAGTCCAGCTGATGCCTTCCAATCCAGTTGCCAGCTCTTTCACATAGGGCAGCACCAATTGGATAGGGATGGCATCCTGTGCCCTTTTGGACTGTGGCTAACCATACCTCTGATGTCCTACATCTGAAAGGATTGATTTACCAGTTATCTTTTCTGCTAGTCTGTTTGCTCACTTTTGATAGAATGATGTTCTCTGACCTCATGAGAAGACTGTAGCGACAAAGCCCAACTCTGCATCCAGTTGAACTAGGCTCCTGGTTTCAGGGACTGTAGAGCCCTGCCCCATGTTGAAATAGGCAGACCCATCACTTTAAACCAGTGATGTGCTTTGTTGGCTGCTATCATAACGGGCAAGGGTATTTGCAGCAAGATGTAGTGCTGGTCATCATATCCTTGACTGGGACTCTATTCCTTTGGTAAGGCACCATTTCTGGATTATTGCCTTGGTCACTCAGTGGTCTGAAGTGACTAGTTGACATAAGTTGATTATGCTAAACATAGCATAATTTCATCTGTTGTTTGTAGAATACCTCATACTTCCAAATGTACTGGCATGCTATGGGCATGCAGATGACTGTATTGTCTTCCATTTCACATGAGCAAGTGCCTTTATGTGACCATCTCTTGGGAGGGAAAGATGGGACACGGTGCCTGGTAAGAGTCTCTCTATTGTTTGGTCTGTAGCCCAATCAATGCCAGTACCTAACACTGTGAAATTTCCCCAGACCTGTGATCTGCTAGGCTTTATAGATTACTCGGCATCCCCCAGAGCATGCTGGGAACCCCACGCCACTTTTTCCTCCAATGCCAGGAAGTGTTATGCTGGAAAGAGGCCACCATTTTGGCCAATTCAGCTCACTTGATCTCACTGCATTGCATTCATTAATTCTGGGATACCACCGTTATCATGGCTGTATCTAGAAACGACACTTTGCTGATTGTTCTGAGATGCTGTGTACCAAGACCTTCAAAAGTTGGGCTTCAACTCCCATCAGCCTTAAGTGAAATAGCATAGCTAATCATGTTATGAAGGAGACCTTACTGCACAGTTCTTGTAACAGGGCCTTTATAGTAACAGCAGCAGAAAGAAACAAACACATTAACCTCGGGCTTCAATTTGGGCAAGAATTTGCCATTTGGAGATAAGGAAATAGTTGACCTAAATTGGCATGGCTCTGCTAATCCTTTAAGGCAGTGTTGTCCAAACTTGGCCACTTTAAGATGAGTGGACTTCAACTCCCAGAATTCCCCACCCAGAGGGGGGGG